GGGCTCCCTGCTCGGCGGGGAGCCTGCTTCTCCCTCTGACCCTTCCCCCTCTCATGTGCTCTCTGTCTCTCATTCTCTCTCTCAAATAAATAAATCTTTAAAAAAAAAAAAAGGCTAAAACGGTAAATTTTGTTATATATAACTTATAATTTAAAAACAAAACACAAAAACCTGAGACAATCTTTTTGCCTGGCTTCCGGGAGGGAAAAGGAAGAGAACATGAAAGGAAGAGACCAGACTGCCCACAGCTCACCAGGTCCAGTCCCAACGCAGAGCCCCAAAGCCTCACGGTCCAGCATGCTCCACCCACAACTTGGCCCCGCTTCCCCTCCAGACTTGCTCTTCTCTGAGAAAGCCTCCTAATGACCTCTGGGATCCGATGAAATCAGTACCCTAGCTTTACATCGGTCCCCAAAAGCTCAAAGAGAGGTGGTAGAATTTGGTACAAAATGGGTAGATTACAGAAGAAGAAACAATAGCAGAGGAGAGAGGGAGCAGTTTGGGTTTCTAGATTCTTTACTCCATCCACTCCCGAAAAACCAGCGGCCCAGCCAAACTGCTCAGGCTCCCACTTGTCTGTGAGGCTGCCCCGAGCCCACCTCACCTCAGCTTGCGTTTGGGAAATTTCTTTTCCTTTTTTGGGAAATTCGCCTCTCTTCCACACCCACCAGTTACAGGGTACGTGGGTGTATCGAGAAAGAAATTTCCCAAAAAAGGAAAAGTGATTCCCAGAGGTTAGCCCCATCTCAGAGCTGCCTGAAAGAGAAAGGCAGTAGTCAGCCCCTGGAGTCGGACTTAGGCCCGAAGGCTCCAGACCTAGCAGAAGTCTCTCAGCATAAAAGCCTCTCAAAGCAGCCCTCAAGGCGGGCATTGGCCCAGGGACTGCAGCCCTCCTCCTCCTCCCGGGAACTCCTGACAATTGCCGTGCCCATGTTGGTCCCAGCCGAGGGGGCCCGGGACAACCTTACCCACTCTGCTCTCTGGAGCCTTCTGGAGGGACGAGTAATTACGAGCTACAACACACAACATACCTAATCCCTCTCCAGGAAACACCCCAGGTCTCACCTTCTCCCCACATTGAGAGCAGAAACTCTACAGCAACCCATTTACGAAGTTGGTTAGTTCAACTCAACAAATATTTACTAGGTCGGTGCCACCCAAGCCCCAGGCCAGACAATGCAGGGAGATACCGAGAACTATCAGGAGGCCCAACAATGAAAAAAAAAAGTTGCAATCTAGTTGGTAAGATAACATTTAAACCAATGAAAACAAATAGCAATATTGTTCAAAAGTCAAGTAACGATTTGAAACAGACTGTGACTAAGTATTAAGGGAACAGCCCAGCCATAAAACGCTGTAATGTATTACATGCAGTAGATGAGCTGGCGAGCACTTGGGGGTGGGTGGGGTGCTCCGCAGGAGGGGAGGATCAGCAGGGGCTACAGGCTGCTCAGAGCTGCGGCTCTCGGAGACCAACACCAAAATGGGGCCAGTATACAGCATGGTGCTCTGAGCACAGCACCACAAGTGGGACCGCTATGCTCCCCAGGTTAAGAGCCACACACATAAGCAATTCCGCTAGCCCCGCGGTCCCCTGATATGCAGGGACACTGCACAGAAGCCCCTCCACCCCAGGAACAGGCCTACCCCTATTCCACACCTGGCAGTTCACCACACCAGCCAGCTGGCTAACCCTGCCCCTTCCCCTCCCTCACGCCCAGGGAATCAGACAGGTGAGTCCTTCCACACCTTAAGAATCACGGTGAAAAGAAATCAAGTCAAACTTATATTTTAATTTTTAAAAATTAAAAAAAAAAATTAAATAAGCCACTGACCAGATCACGAAGGGTTTCTCAGCCTCGGCACTGTTGCCATCTGGGGCCAGATCATTCCCTGTTGTGAGGCCTGTCCTGCGCATCATGGCACTCCTGGCCTCCACCCATAGGTGCCCAGAGCAACCTCCTTCACCCCTGCACAGTTGTGAGAGTCAAAGAAGGCTCCAGACACTGCCAGGTGGCCCCGGGAAGCACAGTGGTGCCCAGCTGAGGACCGTGGCTCTACGTCTTGGTTCTCTGAGAGAACACGCTCAGCACGGCTGCATGCGGTTCACACATGAGCCTGTCTGAAAAGCTCTCCCGCTCCACGTCTCAGGACCCTGTGGGCCAGGGAGAGGCAGGCGGCTAGGCACCAGGAAAGCTGACCTCTGGGTTGGAGCTCCAGGATGCTGGACTGTGCTCGTCCACGGAGTGGCGAGGAAGAACAAGGCCCAAAACAGACCCCCGGGGTGGGAGAGGCCCCTCCAGAGTCCACCTGCAAGGCCCAGGGCGGCAGGTGCCAACGCTGACGCGGGCAGCAAACATCGGACTGCCCCCGTCACCCAGCCCCTTCTCAACTGCAGCCCAGATGCTGCCTTGCAGCTTTCCCCACAGGACTTTCCTAACACAACGGGAAAAACTCTTACAGGCCTGAAATGTTGCTTTAAAGGTATTTCACTGCAACTGTCACTGTCTTTTTCACTCCCAGAAATAGTGCCGCTCTCTTCCCTGGAGCTGCAGTGTATCTGCACTGCCTGCAGGCCGGGCGTTCTGACGCTAACTGGCACACCAAGTCAGTCTCTTCAGCTCCAAGGTCATCTGCCAGAAAGTGGCCCATGGCCCAAAACTCTCCACTCTGGGCATCCCCCACAATGCCCTCTCTGTATGCCGAGTTTTTCCTGGGGCTTCTTTGCCCACATCGCTGGCACAGTCCCACCTCTTCCCCAGCAGCACATGAAATAATACCCAACCTACATTCAGGTTGCTGGGAGACCAAAATGTACTGCAAGGTGTCAGGACTCATGGCTCAACAGCCTCAATTACTTAGGAGCGGCTCTTGGGATGCAGCGTGTGTTCTGCGTTCATGTAGTAGCCGCCCTCTCTTTGTGCTTGTGCAACTGAGCTGAAGGGAACAAAACACTGTACTGGACTCCAGTTAGACCTGAAGAACGACTTCCTGGCCAGAATAATCGGTCTCCAAGGACAGTCCAGGGAACTCTATTTTTCGGGAAGGTTCATGGTCCAGCCCAGCCTGGATGTAATCCAGTGACCTCTGAGGCTCCTTCTCTGTTCGTCTCTGCAGGACTTCAGAACCAGTCAGCCAGGCACAGGGAGGACAAAGTAAACTTCAAGGCTTGGAGGAGCCCAACTCCCACCCAGGGCCACCATTTGTATGATGGCCAAGTTGGGAGAACACAGAGGGCAGTGCTGGGTCTGCCTCCAGGCCTGTTTCCTTTCCCTGAAGGAATGGGTGTCCTAGTGAATCAGTCCCCTTGCTCCTATTTCTAGTGAATTCTACCATCCCACTGGTGCTCATCTCCAATCTACTCTGGACCACAGATGCTTCCATGGCAAAAACGCTTGCGGTCTATCACACTGTATAAATATACTCACCAGGAAGAATGAGAAATAAAATTATTATTTTTTTTTTGTAAGATTTTATTTATTTATTTGCGAGAGAGAGAATGAGAGACAGAGAGCACGAGAGGGAGGAGGGTCAGAGGGAGAAGCAGACTCCCCGCTGAGCAGGGAGCCCGATGTGGGACTCGATCCCGGGACTCCAGGATCATGACCTGAGCCGAAGGCAGTCGCTTAACCGACTGAGCCACCCAGGCACCCAGAAATAAAATTATTTTTAAGAAGGAACCAATGAGGTGATAGTTGAGGTAGAACTATCACATCTATTAATTCCATACCTAGATATCATACCCCTTAATTCATCTGAGAAACGAAGTAGAGGAAGCATCACATCACCAAGATTAGGAACCCCGTGTGGGAATGGACTCATTTGTGGCCTGTTCACACAGCTGTAATGACCACCCTAAAATCCAAGTGTCGCAACAGTCTACGACTGTCCTCGGAGAGGACAGTTATTTCTGCACACACTTCCAGAACCCTGCTCTCACTCCTGTAGCAAAACAACGAACTCTGAATGGGATGGGGTCAACCTATTTTACATGCTATGTCTAGATTTTCTAGGACAGTCCCAATTAAAAATGCTGCCTACATAAACGCACACACACACTCACAAACTCAAATGGAATAGGAAAAGGTGCTTAAATCTTCCATCTTCGTTCCTTTAAAAAGCTTAGAATTTGCTCCTACTTTAGATTAGTTAGGGGAGAACAATCTCCTTTAGAGGAAAAACTCAGGAGGCGGATAGAGAAAGAAAACCAGAACATTCCCCCTGGTTGGTTTTCAGGTTCTCCTCTGGACCAAGAACAGTAGACACTCATCTAGCCCAGGAAGCAGGGAGCAAACCAGGTGGGTGGCAAGGCAGGAAGGAGCCATATGCCCTGGCTTAGTGGCCAGGAGGCCTCTGAAGGTCCAACAGGAGGAGAGAGACCACCTGCAGCAATGGAACTGAGAGGCAGTCCCAGGACTACAGCACGGGAACGCGCGTGTGCTCGACTTCCACACACGCCCAAGGCCAGCCCCCCACCTGCCGCTGCAGGCCCACAGCCTGTTCTGCTTCTAAGTAGGAGTGCTCTGGCTAAGTGTGACTCCTGGCAGCCCGGAACGGAAGTGCCTTTCTCCCTCACTACTTACTCTCACCTGTCACCACTAACAATGCCTCAAACCAAAGGTCTGGGTTTTCAGAGCCACCTCTACCAGACGCCACAAGTTCTTCAAAGTCCGGGCTCCCAAAAGAAGGCCAAGCGAGAGCATATGCTGCTGTTGTTACAGACGACACACATGCAGACACAAAGAAGGGGCCTCAGGGCACAGATGCAGTAGGACACTCACCATCTCGTCCAGGGCATAGCGCAAGAGGCCGTGCTCGTAGAGGATGAAGAACCGCCGCTGCCATTTCTGCAATGGAGCACAGAGTGGGTGGTTAGGGTGCCTCTGGCCCCGATCTCCCCTCGCCACGTCCCCGGGTCTCACAAACCTACGTCAAAGCAATGCGGGCTCCACAGCTTCCATTTCTGGGGCAGATGGCCGGAAAAGAGGGACCCAAGGCAAAAGAGCAGTAATTTGTTAGATGGCCCTGGGCCAGGGGAGAGACCCAAGCCACCCAGTGTTTTTCCACATGAGTTACTAAGATTTCACAGGATGCCTGTTTAATTGGCAAGCTCTTGAAGAGCAGAGATGGTATCCTGGTTCCCTTTTTGCATTCTCTACGTACCCAGCACAGAGATGCTCACGTAACGTGTGCTGATATTTGATAAATTGTACGGCACAATATGGAATAACCTGAGAATGGTAGGCACTGATTCCCCGCTTCTGACAAAATCGAGGAAACTGCTATAAAAGGGTTGTTCTGATGACCCACAGGGAGTGGGAGACAGGGAAAAAGACTGCCAGGCTCCAGTGTTCACTGAGGATGAGAAAGCTAAGAAAAATCAAAACTGAGAAGGAGGGAGACCTGTGGGAATGATTCTGATGTCCAAGGAGTGATCGACCAGCAAAGGGCACCCCTCTACTCTCTACCCACAGGACAGGCTGCTGGGGGCCAGTGGGGCCCCAAAGGCACTGACGACAGAACAGAAGGGACCACGAGAGTATGCGCTTTCCCTTTTGTGGGGGGAAAACATGTCCCGAACAAGAGACTCTTGGTCCCCGAATCCCAAAGCAAAGATCATCATGAGAATCCATGACCTATTTTCAACAGCTCAAAAAGCCCAGCAAAATTCATACTTTCACTGGCAATAAGCCACAAGAACTATCACATCTCTTTGCTTTGGGCCAGAATTATATCATTCATAATAATGTTTTTCCCATCAGAAGCTGGAAATGGCAATTCTGTATGACCCAAATATAGAACAGGAAAGGGAGCTGCTCCCTGGTTACTGCAGGCATTGGAATACAGTCACCCCTGCTGTCCTCCTGCCTGGATGGCAGGAACAGGATGCTCAGATAGCCTTGCAAAGAGGACCTGAAGATGGCTGGTTCCACGATGGGCGTCCAGGGAGAGGCCACTTGAAGTTTTCCTGAGAAACATTTTCAAGGCTCCTTTAAAGACAGTAATATCTTTAAAGTCAAAACCCATACTAGACTTAATCCTAAAGATCCCAGACATAATACAAGGTCTGTGGGGCACCACAGCCCCCACTCTAGACTGCAGCATTCAGGCCAGGGGCAGAAGAGATCAAGAGGCAAAGAAGAGGCTCTCGGAGCAGGGGATGGGAATGGAGAGGAGCTGGAGCAATTTATAGGGTATGGGCGGGAGCACCTGGAAAAATCATGTGGAAAAGAAGAGTCTTTTATTTATTTATTTATTTATTTTTATTTATTTATTTTTTAAAGATTTTATTTATTTATTTGACACAGAGAGAGAGAGAGATAAAGCACAAGCAGGTGGAGCAGCAGGCAGAGGGAGAGGGAGAAGCAGGCTCCCTGAGGAGCAGGGAGCCCGATGTAGGGCTCGATCCCAGGACCCTGGGATCATGACCTGAGCCGAAGGCAGTCGCTTAACCAACTGAGCCACCCAGGCGCCCCAAGATGAGTCTTTTAACTGGAGTCATCCAAAGGGGCTCCCTGGTAAAGGAACAAACCACTGGTTAGGGACAATGTCGGTTTAATCATCTCAATGCTCCAGCTCAGACTGGGCTGCTCCCAGCAACCTGTGCACAGCAGGGACCCAGCCTGGGCTGGGGTGCCCAGGAGAGATGGGGCAAAAGCAGAGTTGGCACTCCAGTCCGTCATCCCTTCACTAGTGCTCATTTGCTGAGCCCCTAGCCAGGGAGGACTGAAGGAAAGAGAGATGGGATGAGGAAGGGAGGGAATGAGGGAACTGGAAGCCTAATTAGCATAATGCAAATGTTTGCTGAACTGCTCTTCTGCCTTTTACATTTAACTGTTTCTGCAGTCAAGCTGACCCATGAAAACAGGAGGCACCATGGGAGAGCATCTCCTTTTAAAGAGTGGACCTGGCACAACTGGTATCATGGAGACTTTTCCTATAGGACCGACGAGTTTGCCAAATGGGGGTTCCCTGCTGATCCTGCCACGCCAGGATCCACTGTTCAATTCCCCATCTCCCTCTTCCACTCGGTTGACTTGCCCTTAGATGGGCACCCCTCCAGTCCCTCCCACCTCAAGAATTCATTCTGAGGACCTTACCCGAGACCGATGCACTGGGTTGTCAAAGTCGGTCCCATCTGGAGCCAGGAGCAGCCAGCCACCATAAATAGGTTTTGCCTGGAGGAGAAAAAAGAGGGCAGGTCATCAGTGGCCTTGGGCCAGAGAGAGAACAGGTTCAATGGTCAAGTTAAAGATCAGTGCTCCCTGGAAACAGAAGTCACCTCTACTTAGCACACATCAGGCATCTCATTCCCCAGCCAAAGGCTGAGTTTCCCAAGAAAGATGTTTGGGAGTAAGAGGCTCCTGTGGGGTCTGCAGCAACTGGTGTGGAGATGGGGACACAGAACGTAGTGGGACTCTGAGAAACTGCAAAGTACAGGAACTCCTACGACACAGACGCCTCCCTCAAGTTCCTGATCAAGCCACGAGGATCAGGAAACAATGGCATTTCCAATCACCATGTGAGTACCCACCACTGTGTGCTGGGTACTACGTATATCACGCAAACACAGTCTAAAGCCCTCATTCTGATAGTACAAAACAGGGCCTGGGAGAAGAGACACTGCTTTATTAGTGATCACAGCTAGCAATGGCCAAAGAATTATCAACATCCTGGCTATGTGACGCTGGGCTGAAAACCCTGTGGTTGAGTTTCAACTGTCCCATCTGAAAGGTGGGGGTGACGGTAATCATATCTACACCTCATGAGACTTATGTGAGGATTGATGAGATAATCCAAGTAAAACACAGCACAGGAATATAAAATGGTGCAGCCACCGTGGAAAATTCTGGCACTTCCTCAAAGAGTTAAACACAAAATTCCACTCAACCCAGAGCTCCACTCCTGGGTATATACATTTGAGAAGACTGAAAGCAGGTGCTCAAATAAAAACCTGGACCTGAATGTTCACAGCAGTACTATTCCTAATCGCCAATAGGTAGAAACAGTCCCAATGGACATCAATAGATGAGAGGATAAGCAAAATGTGGCACATCCATTCAACAGAATATTATCAGCCATAAAAAGGCACCAAGTCCTGGCACGATCTACAACATGGACAAACCTTGAAGACATTATCCTGAGTGAGAGAACATAGACACCAAAGACCATAGATTGTATGACTCGGCTTACATGAAAAAATCCACAACAGGTAAATCCACAGAAACAGAAAGCAGATTAGTGGTTGCCAGGACATGGAGGGAATAGGAAATGGGAAATGACTGCCAACAGGTATGGAGTTTCTTTGTGGGATGATGAAAATGTTCTGGAATTAGAAAGTGGAGATGGTTGAATGACCTTGTGAATATGCTAAAAGCCACTAAATTGTACCCTTTAAGAGGCTGAATTTTATAGTTCGTAAATTATATCTCAAAAAAAGTGTATGAGGAAAAAAACATTAAGCACAGTGTTTGGCCTCTAAGTGCATAATAAATGTTAGCTGTCAATTTTTTTTTTTTTTTTTTAAATGAAGAGTCCCCCATCCCCCAAGACCCTGAGAGTAGGAGCTCAACAGGAGTTGAGACACTAGACAGACACTCTGGCTCCACCTTCCTTTTCAGCCATACCCGGCTGGTGAGAAGCCACTGGAAAAGGCGCAACCAAGCCAATTTGTCCACTACCCTTTGGAGGGCAGTAACACAAAACTCAAATCCTCTGCCTGCTGTTTACACACATGACTCATCTCTGGGAAAGCATTAGGGTCCTCTAACCATGCTTTTTATTCAGCACTTTCCAAACTGGAGCCCTGTCACACCACCTCATTTTATAGCTGTGGAATCTGTGACTCAGAGAGGGAAGGTCACTTGCCAGAGGTCACAGAGCATTCTAGGGTAAGCCAAGAACACTCCTTTTTCTTGGCTTCTGCAGGGTCCTCTAGGCCCCCAGGGGGAAGCTCTGGCTTTTCCCCATGAAAGTGAACATAGTAGGAGCTTCAGGCAAGGGGTATGAGGGGGCTGAGGAACGGAAGTCAGGGACTGGTTTTGATGAAACATGGGAGGTGGGTGCTGGCAGGGAACCTGGGGTTAGAGGGACACGACCCAGGAGGGCCATGGGGGATGTGGAATGAAATTCTGTCTCGGAAAACAGGAGTAAAGAGAGTAAGGTTTGTAACAAATACCAGCCCGGTGGCGCCCAGCCATTCCCCAAGCAGGCAGGCACACTCACTCAGCGGGCTCTCTCACACCACTCAGTGACATACGTACACAAGATGGAAAGGTGAGGGCCAGGGGGTGATTCTGGGCCAGGTGATTTCCCCACTTCACCTCTTAGCTTGCAGTTCCCTGAGGTGTGAAATCAGGTTAGACAACAAGGCCGTGTCTCCTCCATTTCTGTCTAGCCGTGATTGTATGCTACTCTCCTGGTCTCTGGCCGCAGGGCTTTGGGGAGACTTCATATTAGCAGCTACATCTACCTAATCTTTCTCCAAAAGGAGCAGCTGGAAAAGTGAGGGGCTGATACAGGTCCCCTCAGAACCCACCACCCATCACGAGCACTGTTATTGACCGAACATCTATCTACTCAGGCCTAGTGTGCGCCAGCCCCATGTGCTGCAAACCAGGGGGCTGCCAGCACCCACCTCACTTTGTCAGGTCCTTCTTGGACACACCACCCCAAAGGGGACCCTTCCAGGTGGGCAGGTTGTCCTGAAAAGTGGGAGGCTGGGCCAATGGAGGGCACAGGGCAAGAAACAAGTGCTCTAGGGGCACCTGGGTGGCTCAGTCGGTTAGGTGTCTGCCTTTAACTCAGGTCTTGATCCCAGGGTGCTAGGATTGAGCCCCACATCAGGCTCCCTGTTCAGTAGGGAGCTTGCTTCTCCCTCTGCCTGCAGCTCCCCCTGCTTGTGCTCACTTGCTCTCTCTGTCAAATAAATAAATAAATAAATAAACTCAGCCTTCCCTCACAAACCCAATAAACCAGAGGCTGCACTTCTGGCTGGTCTCTGGGAAGAGGCTGCTGGTGGTCTGGGTGTCGTCCTCAATTGAAAGTCCTTTCAAAAACGGTTACTTGAAACTTCTGCTTCTGGAAGATAGGTAGACATAATTTTCCTTATTCCTCCTACTAAGTACAAATCAAACCTCAGACACTGTATATAATAAAAACCTAAGGAGACTCTGCAAGGTAGAGAGAAGAGGGCTGGGGATCCTGAGACCTGAAAACAACATGGAGATGTGCACCCTGGCTTCTCTTTTTGTCTCACTGTCCCAGACTAGGTACTGGAAGAATGAGCAACCTGGAAGTGCCAACAGGTACAAATAAAAGCCCCAATAAAAACTGCTCTCTCTAGCTGAAGAACCAGGGAAGGAACAACCTGGTAAGACAAAATATTCTACGATAACTGTTCCATTCCTGCCAGACATGACAAGAAAGACTCAGCTCCAGCCCCACCCATGCCAGCAAAGGCTTCCTTCCTACCCTTGCCAGCTAAGAGGCGCCCCAGCATCCCTACCAGGAAGGTGTCGGGAGGCCAGGCAGGGAGCTGGGATTTTTGCCCCCCCACTCCGAAGTAACAAGGTCCCTCTCCCTCTCCCTGCTGGGATAGAGTCAGAGGAAGACATGTGGGGAGCTGAACTCTCACCCCTGCTCCAAAGTAACAAGGAACCTCCCCCATCAGGTGTCAGTGGAGGCCAAGTGGGCAGCCTGGACTTCTACTTCCACCTGAAAGTAAAAGATGGTGGCTCCCCCCACCCCCCTACCCTCACTGGAGTAGTGGTCAGAGAAAGCCAACTAGAAAAGAAGGGTCAAACACAATCCACAGTCACCTAAAATAACACAAAAATATCCAAGTTTCAATCAAAAAAATCACCAGCATACTAAGAACCAGAAAGATCACAAACTGAATAAAACAAGGACAATCAACAGATGCCAACACCAAGGTGACAGCCATGTCAGAATTATCTGATGAGGCAGCAATGCTGAAATGTTTCAACAAGAAATTATAAACATGCTTGGAATAAGTGGAAACACAGAAAGCCCCAGCAAAAAAACAAAACAAACAAAAAACAACCAGGAGATATAAAAACCAAATGGAAATTTTGAAACTGAAAAATACAATAAATGAAATAAAAAGCTGATTGGATGGACCCAACAGCAGAATGATGGAAACCACAAGGAAAGAATCAGTGAACTGGAAGAAAAGTAACAGAAATGACCCAATCAGGGGCGCCTGGGTGGCTCAGTCTTAAGGATCTGCCTTCAGCTCAGGTCATGATCCCAGACTCCTGGGATCAAGCCCCGCTTCGGGATCCCTGCTCAGCAGGGAGCCAGCTTCGGGATCCCTGCTCAGCGGGGAGCCAGCTTCTCCCTCTCCCACTCCCCCTGCTTGTGTGCTCACTCACTCTCTGTCAAATAAATAAATAAAATCTTAAAAAAAAAAATGAAAGAAATTACCCAATCAGGCAACAGAGAGAAAAGAGACTAAAAGAAATAATAAGAGAAAAACAGAGTCTTAGAGACCTGTAGAACAATATAAAAGATCTATCATCTGTGTCATCAGACTCCCAGAAAGAGAAAAGGACAGTAGGGTGGAAAAAGCACTTGAATAAACAATGGCTGAAAACTTCCCAAATTTGGCAAGAAAGGCAACCTATAAATTCAAGAAGCTGAGTACACTCCAAAGGATAAATCCAAAGGAATCTACACCAAGACACAACAAAATTAAATTTCTGAAAACTAAAGACAAATACAAACTCTTGAAAGCAGCCAAAGAAAAGTAACAGCTTATAGATAGGAGAAAACCAAATATGACAACAGTGGACTTCTCATCAGGAACCTCAGAGGCCAGAGGCAAGTGGTACAATACTTTTCAGGCACTGAAAGGAAACTGTCAATCCAGAACCCTAGACCCAGAGAAAATATCCTTCAGAAATGAAAGCGAAATCTCAGATGAGTTCCTCAAAAAATTAAAAACAGAACTACCCTACAATCCAGGAATTTTACCCCAAAATTAGAAAACCCCCAATTCAAAGGGATACATGAACCCCTATGTTTACTGCAGCATTATTTACAAGAGCCAAACTATGGAAGCAACCCAAGCGTCCACTGACATACGAATGGATCAAGAAATGTGATATTTATCTACAATGGAGTATTACTCAGCCATAAAAAAGAATGAAATCTT